CAAAAGATATAGAGTCCCGTGCAAAATTTGAGGGTTTTGCCCTGTTGAAGCTCAAAACGCGTATGGTTCTTCAATAAAATCTTGTAGATTTTTCAGCGGTTTTTGAGCGAGCGCACATCGTGGGCTCAAATCGAACGTTCAAAAGTAGGCAGCCACCTTAATGGAAATAGCTTTGGTGTTACCCACCATACTTTGTACTAAATACTCCAGTTTCGAGTTCTCTTGCTGCTCAGGGCTAGACTCGACTTCAGTGCAGAATATTCATTTTAGCCGTAAACGAAATGCTTAAACTCTCTGTAGTATCGTTTTTGCTAACCCTTGAAAGACCACATTCATACTCACTCTGCCATTATAGTAATATTGTTGCAAACAATCTCGTACACAGAGCCTGCGTTTTTTTTGGCTTGCGGTGAAGAACGAGGGCTCTGGTATAATCCATAGGACACCTGAAGTGGCCTAATTCTAAGCATGCGGTTGGCTGGCTACCTAATAATTAAGGATCATTTGAATGATATGGAAATATGTGATATCAGAAACCGGAATAAACATGCAGATAAAGTTTGATAAAAGTGCATATTGTCGTGAAATTTGCAGTTTGGGCCTACAAAGCAAACCACCATTTACTGACCAACCTTTCTCTAAATAGCTGTATACATGTCTATAACACTGTTTCTCTGTAGCCATTTTCTTTGAATTCTCGGTGATGCTGTATCATCGTAGGTACTAGACGATATTCACGTGAGTTCCTGGAATGACGTAATTCACATAGCAACAATCTTCTTTCTTCTTTGTGTTTTGATTTCAGTTTGTGGGAAATTGACAGACATCTTTGATGAAATGTTTCCAAAAATTCGCGTAATTCTGCTTTGTACTTGATTAAACGCATTAAAGCGTATTCGGAATGGAGATCCGGGGTTAACTGAACTGGAACTAAAGACACATAAAATAATAATGTTGATAAATAGTTGAAAATTTGCCATTGAACTTTGTTAACTGTGTGCTATAGTGGTATAGTTAAACAGTGCCAAACAGTCAGTCTTTACTCGATCCATAAAGACCTCGTGTTATTTTGTTTGGTAATTTGGTTATCCAAATAATTTAAATCTCGTACCTTCCTCTGTTCGCTTTATTGGTCTTTTTCGATTGCAAATATAATAATAGAAAATTCCACTTAAGATGGATCCAATCAGAAWCCCTGACGAGAAGTACACAGACATGGCGTACAACGTGTTTCTTGGATCGAAAAAATTTATTTGCTTTTCTTTTACTTTGGTTAATAGAGTTTCGCTTGGGGCCTGAAACGATAAAAAAGAAACAGCCTGAGTCATCACCTCAGTGTGTTGGGTGTGGAATCACGTGGACATCATCGTAAACAACAGGGTTGTACGTCCCTAGTGACCACTATAGCCTGGTGGGTGGGGAATCACGTGGAGATCAACTTAACGAACAGGGTTGTACGTCCCTAGTGACCACTATAGCCTGG